CTCTTTGTATGCCTCCACATGGATGTCTCAGAGTCATCTGAAAACCCCTCAGGTTGCCTCTCCTCCTAAAACCCATCATCCACTGAAGACAGAAACAGGGTGTTCTGACTCTTCCCTTTAATCCCCATACCACATTTTACCTATGACCTAAGCCTAAGCCTAAGAGGTTCCCGCTCTGAACAAAGGCTCTGACCCATCCCTTCCTCTACTTCTCTCCTCCTTTCATTGTCTCAGCTCAGGCTCCACCTCTCCCCGGACCCTTCTCCCAGCTCCTTACTGGTCCCTCATCCTCTCTAGCCCCACAACTTCCTCCACTGAAGAACTTATTTCACCAGAGCAAACTACTTGTTGACTCATCTCTCCGCAGCACACTCTGGCCATCAGAGCTCTGAATTACCCATGAGCAAAGATTCCGTCACTTTTGCACCTGTAGCAGTGCCTGCCATGTAGCAGATTCTAAAACTATTTATGGAATCAAAGTATATATAAATGTAAGTATATATCAAAGTATATGTCATGTTATAGTTTTCCCATCTTTTGTATTAGGCCCTCAGCATAAATTCGCCCAAAGGAGCATTACTGATGACTTAAAATAATGAGTGAAAAGTTCAAAGCCCTTCGTAAGTGAATTTGATCCGTACAAAGCTCTAGGTCAGGTAGTACAGAGAGGAGGATTTTTATTCTCACTAAGGACTGATTTTCACAAGGTTCCAAAGCCAGTAAGTGAGAGAGTGTAAAGAACAACAGGTACTCTGGTATTCTTGCCATCTGCTTGTCTTATTTGATAGGGCCGCTAAATTTAGATGTTGCCCTTTAATGTCAGTTGACCGTCTCTTTAAACGTTGCTGTTCTGGTGCACACACACGCACAACACACATATATGGATAAAATATTTATATTTTCATAAACATACAAAATACTTAAAATATTTATTTATATTTTTATAATTATATAAAATATTTAAATAAATATTTAAAATATTTATTTATAAAATATTTAAATTCTGATAGAATTTGTACCTCCATTAAAAAAACACAACCCACATATCTGGGCCTCTTTTCCCCCATGCAGTGAATGGGCTCAAGGAAGTTCCTGTCCAGGACCTGTTTGCACTGTGGGCGGGCAGGCAAGGGGAAAAAAACCACATCTCGACACCTCCCTGCTTCATATTCCCCATTCTCGTGCCTGGACAGTGAAGTCGGTGGCTAACGTGCTCTGCCCTGCCTCTCCACAGGTCTAAAGTCCTGTCATCCAATGGAAGGCAGAGATGGCTTTCAGAATTAACAATGCAATACCGGTGCCTTTTTCTTTCCTCTTGGCTGGAGTCCCTGCCTCCTGGACAGAAGCTGGGAAATTGGTGTGTGTCTGGCTCCCTGGCCTGGGTCATAGAATTACTGAGCTGTGGGTGGCTGGCAGGAAACCTCAGCAATTATCAAGGCTCAGGCCCTATCCCCCTCACTCATTCAACAAAAATTTACTGAGCAGTTGTGTTGAATAGAATGTGGGCAGGGATGGCAGCTGTCGTGTTCACTGATTTAATCCATGGCACCTATCACAGTGGCTGGCACATAGTAGGGGCTCATTAGCCATCTGCGTAGTCTCCTGTAGCAGAGTCATCTAGGGGAGCTTATTATATGCAGATTCCTGGGCCCGTCGCAGATCTACTCAACCGTAATCTCTGGTGACAGGGCCAGGGTGACGGCCATGCCCTCCAGAGTTGGAGAACCATGGCTCTCGTGTCTGATTAGCACATTCTTTTATTACCAGGTGGGAGAAGGTGCTGATGTTTTTACTTTTGAGCATTTGACTGTAATATTCAAGTCAAATAGGTTCATTTTGCTGTAGCCATTTTCTGCGGAGCCTGGAAGAGTCTGGGCTTCGCCTGGAGTGTGTGCCGGGCAACCTTTCACTCATCTCGGGAGAGGCAAGGCCAATAAAAAGGCAGAGACGATAGGAGCTGAGTCACATGAAATCCAGGTTTGGCATTATTATCGTCCTTCACTTGAAAGTCATAAAACTAGAAATGTGCCACCGTTCCCGGGAGCGGTGAGCTACTGTGGGGCTTTTGCCTTGGACCAAGCACAGGCCTTGGTTCAGATCTCCATGTGTCTCTAACTGCTTGGTCTTGGGCTAAACACTTGAAGCCGCTTTAAGCTTTAGTTTCCTCAGTCACAGAATGGACGTCACAGTGCCAGTTCCTCAGGGTTGTTATAAACAACCTGAGATGATACAAACTCAGGTGTCTGACACATGCCCAGGACGGAACAACTGCAAAGTTTTGGCTGATATCTATATACTGCCATCCGATTTAGGCGGGAAGGTTCAGTAGAGAGCCACTTAGCCAGGCTCTTTCATTTCACAGATAGGGAAATAACCTCAGAGAGGATAAGCAAATTGCACACGAAAATCTAGCCCCTTAAGTGTCTTATGACCTAATCTCAATGAAGAATTTCAAATTCTTCCAAGGACTAGAGGAGGTGATGAGGCTGATGCTGGGGGTAGCCTTTTGGAAGGAATTCCTGGGATATGATGCTTTTGAAAAGGAAGCTAGATATCTCAGGTGAAGTGCCTTTTCACCTGAGTTTCTTGCCTGCCAGAAGCCTATTCTGAGGACACAGTGACTAGTGAGAAGGTTCCCAAAGCTGAACAATTTGTGGCTTTTCTATCAACACTGGAATTTTAAAGACAAACACCTTTGGGTGAGCACTGTTGAGGTCTTCCCTGGGAGGCCCTATCTGGTCTAGTAGCTCTGCGAGCTCCCGGCCAGACGTAGCAGGCCTTGGGAACACTCTGAGTCTGGCCTCTGGGCTCTAAGGGGAACAGCCCCAGGCTGGATCTGGTAGCGAGACCTCTGGAAACTGTCCTGCAGGGCTCTAACTGTGCTGTCCCTGGGCAGTGGCAGAAAACCAGGGCTTTTGGAGAGCTCAGGTCCTTAGGGCTAATGGTGATGTCACCAGTGATGGTGACATAGTGGGGATGAGCATTTCCTCTCTGCCAGGTGCAGGGTCAAGCAATTTGTTTTACATGCATTTTTTCAGGCAAACCTCCCAAGATCCTTGCATGGGGGAAACAGAGGCTCAGAGAGACTCCGTAGGTGACTAAGGGCACATAGCTAGTGAGCACCAGGATTTGAACCCAGGTCTCTTGGAGTCCACGAGAGCCAGCAGCCTGTAAGTGCTGGAAGAAAGGAAAGTAACATTGAGCGGTGTCTTCAAGGGATATATGTTTTATTACCATTTTTACAGATGAAGAAACAGAGGGCCTTAGAGTTTTGCATATTTCCTATGAGGTCAGGCATTGTGCCACACACTTTACATATGTTATCTCCTCAATCATCATAGCAGCCTCATGAAGTAAGTAATTCTATGATCCCCATTTGTGTAGGGGAGGGAACTCAGGCCTGAGACTGAAGGGCTTGTGGAGGTTCACAACTGGACAGCCTATGTGCTGAGCTTTCTGAGTTGCCCAAGACTGGAGCCAGTTATGGCAGGGCTCGCCCAACATCTAGAACTCCTGAGTCCCCAGGCTAGTGCTCCAAGACTAGATGTGGACTTACTGTTCCTTAAAAGTTGTATTGGCCTAAGTCCCAAGGAGTGAAATCACACCCTGAGGTTCTGGGAAGCTCAGAAAGGAGAAGGAAGTTCTTTTGGTGTTCAAGTCTGAGCAGGTGTATAGGACTCCCTCCCGGTTTTCTCCTCTGGCTGGGAGGGTGCCCGCACCGGGACAGGGTGGGGCAGCCCTTTGTGAGTGCAGGCGGAGGGAGAGCAGGACAGGCGGAACAGAACAGGTCTAAATCTTCCCGACTTTACGCCTTCATCCTGGCTGAGGCCTCATCTCTTGCCTGGCAAACAGTGGATCATGATGATGAGAGTCCAAGGTTGGAGTCAGAAAGCCTGAGTTCAGGTTCTGACTCTGGCACTCAATCCCTGAGCACCTTTGACTCTGGGCAGTTTTCTTATCTATACCATGAGTGTTGGTAGTAGTGGGGGAGGGCGGGTAGGAATCAAAGCCATTCTGGTTTCTAGTTAACATGGCAAGAGGAAAAGCCGATTGGAGCCCTGTTTTATGGGTCTTGGAGCCTTGTAAGAAGAGATATGTAGATCAAATTTTCACTGAAACACATGTAAAATGGCAGCTGGGACCGGTGTTTTAAAGGAAGGGCTGCAGAGCTAAGAGAGCCTATGACGGTGGGGGCGGGAGAGAGGGAATGGCTGACAGCGTGAGGGGCAGTGGGGGAGGATGCCCTGGAGGTGCGGTTGTCAGGAGAGGGGCTGCTGCGCAGGGGACAGCGCTTGGTGTGGAGAGGCCATTACGGGGTGGTTCCTCCAAGGGACCCTGAGAAGTCCAGTGTGCCTCTGGGAGCTGGCATGAGCCTGGCTACTTCAAGGCACTTTGGGTCATGTAAGAGAAGTTATAATTATTTTTCTTATTTGAAGGAGTTAAGGGGAGTGAAGGGAGGAGAGAGAGAGAGAGAGAGAGAGAGAGAGAGAGAGAGATTGCCCAATTTTACAGAATGAGTCAACGCATTTTCAGTTTAAATATAAAAGTGCCACCCCTTCCGAGGAGCCTTCCCCGATTTCTCCACCTTTGAACTATGGTATCCTTCCTTCTCTGGCCTTGCGGCCCCGGTAGAGAAGCTCCAGCCTCGGGGGCAGTCAGACCTAGGCTTTGTTTTCCTTCTGCTAAAGTGGCTTTCAAACGCGGTCCCCTGCCTTCCCAGGCCTCAGTTTCCCCATCAGTGCAGAAGCGGTTTGTCTCGGAGGACCCGCCCAGCGCTAAGGCAACGTGATTCGCTCTGGCAAAAGCTGGGGGCTGCCCGCATTGCTGCGCAGGCATCCGGCTGCAGGTTGGGGAACCGTCAGCCGGCTTCAGGCGCTGTCCTCAGGCCCGGGGGCTGCCGGCGAGCATCGCGCCTTTAGACTTGGCGCAGGAAAGTGGGGGCGCGACCCCCTGCTCGCTCAGGCAGCGCGCGGCCCCGCCCCCGCAGCCAGCGGCCCTGCGGCAGCCCGGGCCTGAGCTCCGCCCTCCGCTTCCCTCGCTACCTCCTCCCGCCTCCGCCGCTCGCTCGCTCCCTCCCCCCGGCCGGCTCGGCGCTGACTCCGCCGCACGCTGCAGCCGCGGCTGGAAGATGGCGGGGAACGACTGCGGCGCGCTGCTGGACGAAGAGCTCTCCTCCTTCTTCCTCAACTATCTCGCCGACACGCAGGTACGACCAGCTGGGGCCGCGGGCCCGGGGCCAGGGGTGCTGAGCTGCAGAGGTTGCCGCCGCAGCCAGGGAGGCTGGGAGGAAGCGGTGGGTGCATTGAGGGGATCGGGGGTTCCAGGCTGCAGAGCCCCTTTCCATGAATCCCCGCGATACGTTCCGTTAAGGGGGGTAGGGAGCTGGAGGTCGCCCCCGAGCGAGCCGGAGCGTTGTGGGCGCTACGGCCGCTGGGGAAGGTCTAGTCTTGGTCTCTTGGAATCCGCACCCCCCGCTGGCAGAGCTGGGTGGGGGTACCGCGTTTCCTTGGGGAGGTGGAGCCGCGTCAAGGTGTCGGGGACCCTCAGGCCAGCTCTGGGTGCAGGAGGCGCGCCCTCAGGCTCCCGGCACTTGCTGCCGTACTTTCACGTGGACTTGTGGCCCCGGCACAGACGCCTACCCCTGTCCTCGGAGTCTGCTGCTCCTCAGTCTCCAGACCCCCATGGCTCCCCATCGGCCCCGTGGCTCCTTATCCGCGCCCGCAGCACGGAGTTTCCTGCCAGTTGCCCACTAAGGGTTTAGGGGTCTGAGGGGCACGTGGACCTACGGCCGGGGATTGCACCTTCCTGGTTACGCTATCCGGCTGAGCGTCCGGGGGTGAAAGCACGACGAGATCGGGGCGGAAGGACTGTCTAGGGGCGCCTGGGTGCCCCCTGCGGCGCGCGGCCCCGGTGCGCGCTCGGCGATGCAGGGGGAAGGGAAGGCGAGGCGGCGTCCCGGGATCTGGCAGCGCCTGGGAGCCCCACCGGCGAGACGCGCGTGACAGGAGAGGGTGCTCTGGTGTACCGGGGTTGGGGGGGGGCAGTGCACCGAGGAAGCTGGTGACTTGGAGACGGAGGCGGGGGGCGGGGGCTGCTGGGACAAGCAGCCACCGAAAATGTCTGAACAAGGTGTGCGCCCCCCCACCCCTTCCGTGGGTTTCCCCAACCCCATGCCTGTTGAAAGCACAAAGTTTGGCCCCATAGTTAGAGCTTTTTCTCTGGGCGCCAGGCTGCAGGAAGCCGGGAGAATGGGGATGCGGCGCAGGCGAGAAGGCGAGAATGAGACCCCGGTTGCGGGCGCACGCCTCGGGGAGGAGGAGAGGACCCCCGATGGGACCGAGAGGCTTGCGATGGCTGGTTCGGTACCTGGAGTCGGAGCGCTAGTGCCCAACTGGCTCATTTTGCATAACACTGGAAGGGAGGGGGCGGAGGGTGGGAGGGTTGAGAGGGAAACTTTGCTTCTTGTTGTAATCTGCCTGTCTTTGGGCGGCCGCAGCTGTCATGGGACCGGGTGGGCGGGGAGAGGCTTGCAAGCTGACTCCTAGCCTTGAGACGCGACTTGGAGGGGACGCTGCAGCCGAGACGTTCAGCTCCGGGCGGACTCCGGGTGGCGGCTCTCGGCTGGCGGCTAGGATGGCGCGGCGCGACTGAGTGTCTTGGAGAGGAAGCCCGCCACACACCAGAGAAGGCCAACCCTGGTCTGCTGCAGACGTCCCTGCGTCTGGGATACGCGGGGCCTCGTGGTCGGTGGCGGGCGCGCCCGGGTGGGTTCCGGTCAGGGGCCGAAGGGGCTGGTTGAGTGCGATCGCGCTTCTCAAGGCCAGGGGAGTGTGTGCAGAGTGGGCTGCGCGCGCGGGGGTGTGCGGTTGTGTGCACACGGCGCGCGCGCCGGGCGCGTACCTTTACCTCTGACGAAACCGCAGTGGAGCTCCCGCGGCGGTCACCGGGCGCTGTCACACGCCCGGAGAGCAGAGCCCAGGTCTGCGAGAACTGCAGATCCCAGCCCCAGAACCGCCACGGTCCCCGACCGCCCCGCTCCCCTACCTCTGGGGACAACCGGGGGCTACGGGTACTGAGTGCGGGCGGGACAGAGTTGCCCCTGGGAAAGTTCTGTCCACAGCCGTCGCCCTCGTCTGGGAGTGTTTTCAAGCCTCTCCACTAAGACGCGGGTGAAGAAGGCCTGAAATAGCTGGAGACTCGATCAGGGACCCAGAACAAGATCTGGTCGTTTGGACCCGACTCCAGGTTTTAACTCCATCTTCGGTGCTCTTTGGCTAACCAATAATTAATTATTGTCCTGTTAGCTGCCCAGCGGTCCTACCCAGGAGGGATATTTCACCCGAGGAAACTAGAAAATTGGGTAAATCAGGTGTCAGCAGAAGCAGTGCAGTGAAAGTTAATCTGGGACGTTTGCTTTTTTTATTTAACCACGTGACAGGCTGAAGATCTTCTGGTGATCTTTGCCGGCCCAACTTGGGAAATGTAATTGATAGGGAGAGCTTTGCAGCCGTCCCTAGAAGGCTCATAGAGCCCAGCCGTAAGAGGACTTGGGCGGCCATCACGGTGCCCCCTCATTTTACAGCTGGGGATAGAGGCTGTGAGGGGTGAGGGGCTTGTACCCGACCACGCAGCCAGCGGGTGACAGAGCCACCCAGGGCTCCTGACTCCAGGTCCTGTGTGTTACCTCGAAATAGCACTGGACTTGGAGTCAGAAGGCCTGAGTGGAGTCACCTTCCCCACTCTCTGGCTGGGTGACCCTGGAGCAAGCCATTTTAACCCTGGGAGCCTCTTCTCCTCCATCTGTCAAATGGGGTCGCCAGGAGAAGTCACTGGCCTGGTGGGAGTGAGCACACTTTGGTGTGAGATGGCTGGTTCCTGCAATTCCCTTTTCTCCCCCAGAACCTCCCTCACCATCCCCTCCTCCCCTTGGAAGGGGTGGGGGAAAGTGAGTAGAAGGTAATTTATTCTCTTTATCCAAAAAGACTCAATATTGTCTTTGGTGGCTAATCCAGGGTTAGATAGATAGCAGTAAGACTTCTGTTTAGAGACAACTTTTACCCATGGAGGCCAAAGTTCAGGAACCCAGCAGACCAAGGATTGTGAAAGTTTCTTGGAAAGGTTTGGGACATGTATTCCCAAGGACTTTGGGTTGGCTTCACCTTTGCTCAGGCTGTGCCCCTTGTGTGCAATGCCCTCGTCTACCCGTCCTGTGTGGCCTTTTCCAGCAGGGCCTTCCCCACCTGGCTTGCCCTGCTTTCTTTTCCTCTCGCTGGTTCTCTTAGTCTGTGTTATACAACCAGGCACTTTGTGTCTGTGTCCTGTATCCCAGTAAGATTCTAGAGCTAGAGTTGTGCCTTTCATCTCACTGTTCCCCCATGGCAGCTGTCGCCATGCTGAGTTCCTTTGCTCAGCTCTTGGCTGGGCACATGAATGACAGGGGAAGCTCCCAGGCTGGCGGGGGAGACAGCTGGGCAGCAAGTGTGGGGAGGGGAACGCAGAGGGCTGCAGCTGCGGCCAGCGACGTGGGCTCCAAAGGCCACACCGTACGCCCACACCAAATATGGGTCGTTTGAAGTCGCTTGGGACATCGGTCATGGATGTCTGAGATGTCAGAATTGGCAGGAACTCTAGAAATGTTCTGGTCCAACCCCTTATCATTCGAAAAGATTCATTTGTAGAATTGTTAGAAAATACTGGCAAGCGTAGAGAAAGAAATTGAAAATATGTCATCTCGCCCAAAGAGAACCCCTCTTAATTTTTATGTATGCTTCCAGACTTTTTTCTTTCTTTTAGATTCCTCTTGATTGTATCTTCTCAGGAAAGTGGAGTCATTCTTTATATACTAATTGTAATTTGGAATCACACTGTTGTAACTCGCTTTTTTTCCCCTCCTCCAAACAATATACTGTGACTATTTTTCATCACTAATAAATATCCTACTTAATGGTTATATAGTATATAGTATCTTGTTTAGGGTTGAACCAAAATGTATTTAATCAGTCCTCTATTGTTAGTCGTTTAAGCTGTTTTTCTTTCTTTCTTTCTTTTTTTTGCTATTGTAAGCTGTGCTGAAATTAATATCTTTGCATATGTCATTTCCTTTATTTAAATTCCTAGAAGTGAAATTACTCTGTCAAAGGAACTATGCATGAATTTGGTAAACACATTTCTGGATTGCTTTCTAGAAAGAGCATGCTAATTTACACATTTACCAGTAGAGTGTGGGAATGCCTGGTACCCCATTCCCGGATAATGCTTGGTATTTTCATTGTTTTTTCATTTTTATTAGTCTGTTCAATAAATTCTCTGTCACCCTTATTGTTTTAATGTGCTTTTTTTTTTTTGATTACTTGTGTTGCCAAACCTTTCCCCCATATGATTTATGGTTCTGTTCTGTAAAAATGCAGTGTTTGTAAAAACATAGTCCCTTTGTAAATTGGTGTCCTCTCCCCTCATTGTTCTAAAACTGGCTGGGAGCTCCCAGAAGGGACCCCCGCCACCTGGAGAACCGGGGAAATGGGCTGAAGTCCTCGTGTTCACTGCTGAGGTCTGGAACATTGCTGCCTCCACAGCCCCGGATGCAGGGCCAATATCTTTTCCAAGTCAAAGTTCTAGCCATCTGTAGGAGCAAGTTGCAGTGCAGCCTTTGCTGGGTGCCTTCGCGCACCCTTCACCTCTTCACCTGTGTGAGACCAGGGAGAGTAACTTCTTCACCTAAGCCCAGAGGGGGACAGGTTTGCTTGCTTTATCAGAGTCCTGGGCTCCTCTTGCATGGGGGCTCCCTCGCTAGTGCTAACGATCAGGGTGCCTACGAAACCAGGGAAAGGCAGTGGGGCCGGGGGGTTCATATTTCCCTTCACCTTGGGGCCATCCTCTCCCCAGCTGATGCAAGCCAGCCAGAAGCTTCCCCATTGCCAGGATATGAGTCACCCTTTTCCTTCTCTCTTTGGAATAATAGGATACTGCTTTGACTCACAAGCAGCTTTGCAGATGGGGGCTTGGGCTTGGAAGGGAGGCCATTAACACAAGCATTGCAGGTAACGGCTATCACCTCCTTCATCATTATCGTCATCATCAACGATGCTTATTGAGCATCCTCTATGCACTCTGCACTCTGCCGTGCACTCTGCTGAACCTTCTATGTGCATTAGATGCTGCAATCTCATAAAGATTCTGCAAAGGGTAGGCACTATCCCCATTAATAGG